TTATCTCTTACTATGGTCTTTACTTTGAGGTCTATTTTATTACCAATAAGTATCACAATCCCAGATTTTTTCTCATTTCTGTTTGCCTGAAAAATCTTTTTCCATCCCTTCACTCTTAGTCTATGTGAGTCCTTTGCTCTGAGGTTAGTCTCTTGTAGACAGCCAATATATGGGTCATGCTTCCTTATCCGTTCAGCTATCCTATGTCTTTTGATTGGTGCATTTAATCCTTTTACGTTCAGTGTTATTATTGACAAGTACATGTTTGTTGTCATATTTTTCCTTAGTGTTTGTGTTTCTTCTTGCCTATATCTTTCTTCTTACTACTGCAGTCCCTTTAGCATTTTTTTTTTTTTTTTTTGCATTGATGGCTTGGTAGTGATGAACTCTCTTAGCCCTTTTTTTTCTGTGAAGCTCCTGAGTCCACCTTCAATTTTGAATGATAGCCTTGCTGGGTATAGTATTCTTAGATTCAAACCCTTGCTTTGCATCACTGTGTATATTTCATTCCATTACATTCTGGCCTGGTATGTTTCTGTTGAGAAATCATTTGATATTCTAATAGGAGATCACTTGTAGGTAACTTTCTGTCTCTGGCAGCCTTTAAGATTCTTACTTTTTCGTTGGTGTTTGCCAATTTAATTATGATGTATCTTGGTGTCGGTCTTTTGGGGTTCAATTTGTTTGAGACTCTATGCCCTTCTTGGACTTGCATGGTTTTTTTCTTGCCAATATCAGGAAATTTTTCTTTCATTATTTCTTCAAACAGGTTTTTTATTCCTTGCTACTCTTCCTCTCCTTCTGGCATTCCTATAAGCAAATATTGTTTGGTTTTGTCCCAAAACTCCCTTAGGCTCTCCTCTTGCTTTTTAAGTTTTCTTTCCAATTGATGCTGTGTTTTTGAGTGGTTTTTTTTTCCTACTTTGTCTTCTAATTCGCTGATGCAGTCTTCAGCCTCTTCTAGTCTACTGTTTAAGCCTTCCATTGTGTTCTTTATTGCAGCTATGTCGTTCTTCATCTCCTCTTGGTTCTTTTTCATGCTGGCAACATTCTCATTCAGCTCCTTATAATTATCATTGAGTTGTGTGTACTTGTCATCCATCCGTTTAAACATCCTTATAACCATTACTCTGAATTCTTTCTCTGATAAGCTGCTAACTTCAATTTCATTTAATCCCCTTTCTGATGATTCCACTTTTTCTTTCCTTTGGGGATTGCTTTCCCCCCCCATAATGTTTTAGTTGTAGATCTGCTTGCTTTTCTATCCAGGTTCCTTTGGGGATGGTGCTACTGGTGTAATATCTCAGTTTTCTTGGGGTTGGTAATCTAGTGTAGCTCCCTACTTGAGCTATTTGGGTTCTCTTAATGTGGGTCTGTAAGATTGAGAGGAACTACTGCAGTGTCTAAAAGTCAGCAGATATGGAGGGAAGTGTCCCAATTTTTGCTGTGTTGCACCCTTATTTGAAGTCAAGTGTGTCCAGGGGGGGCTCATATTGGCACCCAGGAACCACCTGTTGGGAGAACTCACAATGGCTCCCACTAGCGCCCTGTGTGTAGATGGGCTCAGGGTGCCTGCCTGCTGGAAATTTGCTCTGTGAAAGTGTGTTTTCAGGTGCAGAGCTCTGAGGGGTCCTGGCACTGAGGTTGAGCAGCGAGGGTGAATGGGGGCAGTTATTCAGGAAGAGGGGTTTCTGAATTTCTGCTGCAGGGCAGCATGTCCTTGTCTGTACATAATCACACCCAGCAGGAGCTCAAAGCAGCTCCACAGAGGACACTGTGGATATACTGGCTCAGCCTGCCTGCCATTTGAAAATGTGCACATCTGTGGTGGTGAGTTTGCTGGCACTGAGCTCTGATACACTTTGAGGGGCCCTGGTACTGATGTTACCCTGCTGTGGTGTCTGTGCAGGTGTTCAGGATGTGTGAGTTCAGAATTTCTACTGCCAGGGGCAGTGTGTCTCTGTTTGTCCAAGATCACATCCAGCCAATAGTCACAGTCTCTCCCACAAGCGCCCTGTGGATATATGGGCTTTGGAAGTGCACTTGCAAACTTTGGAAGTGCCTTCCCTTTGGGAGTGTGCATGCAAACTGGTGGTGCGTTTGCCTGCGTAGAGTTCTGACACGCTTTGAGCGGTCCTGACACTGAAGTTAAACAGCTAGGGTGTATGTGGGAAGTTATTCAGGAGAGAGGAGTTCAGAGTTTCTGCTCTGGGGCAGAACGTCCTTGTCTGTACAGAATCACACCCAGCAGAGGCTCAAAGCAGCTCCCCAGAGGGCCCTGTGGATATATGGGCTCAGGGAGCCTTCCCTTTTCTGTGACCATGAGTTTGCTGACTTTAGAAGTGTGCTCACAAACTTTGGACACGCCTGCCCTTTGGAAGTGCTCATGGAACTGGTGGTGCGTTTGCCTGCACAGAGCTCTGATGCACTCTGAGGGGCCCTGGCACTGACTTTGCACATTCGGGGTTTCCCTGGGCAGTTATTTAGGAAGAGGGAGTTCAGAATTTCTACTCCGGGGCTGCGCGCCCATGTCTGTGCAGAATCATACCCTCTGGGGCTCTCAGTGGCCCCCAAAGCTGTCTAGGTAGTGGAGTGCTTGGCTGCCTAAGAGGCTAGGAATGCGACAAATCCTGAGTTCTGGTGCTGGGGAGGGGGAGGTTGTACTTACTGTTATTAGGCTGCGCACCTTTGGAGATGGAGGTACCAGTGTCCAAGGGTCTGCAGCTGTGGTGCAAAGTCTTCTACCAGAGCAGCTACAGTGTCCTGCTTTGCTTCTGAGACCAGACTGGGTGGTGGCAAGGCTAGGATTCTAGTCTCAAGCAGTTCTGTTCTTCAAGATGGTGTGGTCTCAGTGCCGCTCATGTCCTCCCCGGAGTGTTTGCAGCAGCCAGGGGGTTTTGCCATCTAAGACTGCATTGGAAGCCCTCTGGAAGAACTGAAGGGTCTAAATGTCCCTATTTCACTCACACACACCCCCAGACACATCCACACACATCTCTATCTGAAAATGAAACAACAAATTAAAAATGTGCATGCTTTCAAAACCATTTTGTCTTACTTTGTTCTGACAGATGAAAACATAAACATAAAATATAGTAAGGTGGTTCTTCCATTTTTTTCAGCTACAGATTTCTTTGAGAATCTTAAGAATACTAGAGATCTTTTTCCCCCAAAAAATGAGCATACACACATACATACACACAGAGATATTTTTAGGCAACAGAGCATTCTTTACTCCTCCCAAAGTTCATGTATGAATCAAGAATTTAAAAACTACTGAATTAAGTAAATGTTTGAGTATACATGAGGATATATTGTATGTACATATTTTACATATGTAAATATTTAATGACCATTTAATAATTGTTAAATCTTATATGGTATAAAACTTCCTCCTCTACTTTGATATGAAATTGTCAGTGACAAAGTTCTAGAAAAGCAGTAAGCTAGTATTTTGAGTATTGAAGTGACAAATGCTCTTATAGTGTTCTGAAAACCACTACCATGTTTCCTCGAAAATAAGACATCCTCCAAAAATAAGACCTACTTACAGGTTTCCTTCTGAGTGAAATAAAAGGCATCCCCCCGAAAATAAGCACCCCCCCCCAGGCTAAACATGAGAGATTTGGTTCTGAAAGAAATGGAGTCACAAGAAATTCACCAGGAAATTCAGGAATTGGATTGTTATGATGATGTTCCAGAAGATGATGACATGATTGTCATTGAATAAATGAGTAAATTCTTGATACTGTAGGATTCACAGTTTGTTTGGTTTGTGTTGACAACGTACTATCGTACCTTATACAGGTAATAAATTTCCTTAATTTTCATTTAACAATAAATGTGTACTGTATTCTTCTTCATGGAAAAATAAGACATCCCCTGAAAATAAGACCTAGTGCATCTTTGGGAGCAAAATTAATATAAGACACTGTCTTATTTTCGGAGAAACAGGGTATTTATTTGAAGTTGTTTTATAACTTCTATGTCTTTACAGCAAAGTTGAATTCAATATGACAAATTGGCTTCGGAGGTAGTGTACACAATTTTCTGTGGAGCTTATATCTTGGGAGATAAGGTAATCAACCAGGGTGTTCACTCATTTATTATTCTAACAGTATGAAGTTGAGCAACATTCTTTTCACATCACTAGTCCCTTTCTCTGCCTGTTAGGGGACACAGTATTCCATCAAAGGCAGAAATGACACACTTTTGTAGTGGTTACCCTGAATGAGTGATTTTTATCATGAGTATATTTTACAGTTCAGATAATAGCTTCATTGAAATTACATTTAAAAATTACAGTAGACAATAACAGCTCACACTTCAAACAGAAAAATATCTGACAGTAACAGTTGCTACAGTATTTGCTAGCCTATGAATTTTACTATTCTAATTGGGGGGAGGGGTAACCAGGAAAAGATGACTAAAGAAACTTCAAATTTCAGGGTTTAAGCAAAGTTTTGATATGTGCCCAGGATATTGATAGAAAGAAGAGATTCATATGACAATCTCTCTGTTCAGTAAAAAGCATAGATTTCAATAAGTAAAGACATAGGAAAACTGTTTCCTTTTTTGTCCTTCAGCAACCTAACTCTGCGTCATTCCTAGAAGCTTACAGCTGGGCAATTATTTTAGTTTTAGATTATCCCCCAACTCATCCCAATTTTATTTATGAATTTAGGGGTGGAGATCACCCAAAAATAGTCAACTTCTCTCTCCAATTACAAAGATATTGACATTTTATTGCCCTTTGTCCACATTTCAGTTTTTTATGTCCTAACTAAAAAACACATAATTTATTTTTCCCTTTCTCCTCTGATCACTAGTTTTAATCCTAATCTCTGAAATATTGAATTTCTATAATTTAGAAGAGCTGTGGTGTCTTCATTTTCCAGGTTCTCAGACTGTTCTTCCTGAAATCTGGTATGTTGGCTTCACCTGCCTGCTTCCCTTTCTTTCTTTCATTCTTCCTGTGTCAATGTTAAGGCTCATGAATGTGGCTTATGTGGAAACTACCTTGGGTAGCTCTGGAAATCTCAGGGACCTTAAACAGGACCACAGTGGGAGATGGAGCCTTCTAAACAAAGACTTGGAAGAGAGGGAATTCAGCCTGACTGGGCTGCAGCAGATCAATCAAAAAGCACACCATCCCAAAGAAGCTTTCATACATGCTGTATATACTTTCAAGGACACGAGAACTGGCCTTGAATTCCTCACTAAATAAAAACTAGCAAACTTTAAAAAAGTAGAAAATATGAATAGTTTTAACATAGTGTTTCCACATAATTAGCTTTGGGTTGCTTCTTTATCCTCTCTGCTAATTTAAAATTTTAGCATCATTTTATTTCCAGAATTGTATAATATTTTAAGAATGTTCCTTTTCAACCGAAACCGGTTTGGCTCAGTGGATAGAGCATCGGCCTGCAGACTGAAAGGTCCCAGGTTCAATTCCGGTCAGGGGCATGTACATCGGTTGCGGGCACATCCCCAGTAGGGGGTGTGCAAGAGGCAGCTGGTCGATGTTTCTCTCTCATCGACATTTCTAGCTCTCTATCTCTCTCCCTTCCTCTCTGAAAGAAATCAATAAAATATATTTAAAAAAAAGAATGTTCCTTTTCAAAATGAATATGATGTTTTTCTTCAGGCATATTATTTCTGAGCTAGGTTTCACTTATATGTGAGAGACAGCAGAGACTGTAAAACTACATGGGCAAGATTTCATACAATATGTGCTTTGGGTAAACAAAGGGATAAGATAAATGGAATAAGCAAACCACATTTTATAGTCATGTCATCAAATAACAAACTCAACTATAAAACATTGGTTTTAGGACATCTGATTTTCACTGGCATCTAGATTCTCTATGAAAAAGTTTTATCTTTTTACTGATAATTATAACAAATCCTATCAAAATTATTTAGAATGAGTAACATTTTTAAATTTTTATTTCATTGTTTAAAGTATTACAAATAGTAATACATATATCTCCTTTTATTTCGCCATTGACCTTCCCCTAGATTCCCCTAACCCCCTGGCATATGCCCTCATCCCCCCGTCCCCACCCGCAGTGTATTGTGTCCATTGGTTTTGCTTATATGCATGTATACAAGTCCTTCGGTTGATCTCTTTCCCGCCCCTCACTAACACTCCCCAGACTTCCCCTTGTAATTTGACAGTCTGTTCAATGCTTCACTGCCTCTGTATCTATCTTTTTGTTCATCAGGTTATAATGTTCTTTATTTCCCATAAAGAAGTGAGATCATGTGGTATTTTTTTTTTCATTGCCTGGCTTATTTTACTTATCAGAATGAGTAACATTTTTAGTAGTAAACAGCATTTAAAATGCTGTTACTTATGCCATCTTTTTAATGACTTGTTATTATTCCCATCAACAACAAAAATAACCATCAACTCAGAGGCTGGAGCTCATGGGGTGGTAATGCTGGACAGATGATATTGCCATAAATTTATATAATTGCTACTACATAGAGGATGTTATGAAGAGTAATTACTTATTGTATCTTTTAAATGTTCTTAGAATTATTGATGACAGGTTAAAATAAATCAGCAAAACACCTATTGCAATTCTGTTTAGTGTAAGATTTCTATAAACTGTTTTCCTATATATACAACAATTTATAAATAAAACTAAAATACTTAACTAGTAAAATAATGATACCTCCTTGTGAGTTAATTAAAATTTTGTAATTGTACAATAAAGCTTCATGGTATTGTTTCAAGGAATCTTGGCTTTTTTTATGATATGTAACCAGGATATTGATAAAAAGTAAAAATTCATACGGTATAGCTTCAGGGAATCTTAGCAGAGGATCATTGGGCAGTTTGAACTCCATCTCAGAAAAATAGTCTTCCAATACATAAAATAAGATGCATAGGATTCCAAGAGGAATTCATTATATTAAAAAGAACAGCACATTTTTTAAAACCAAGTTTGTGATATAATAATACAGGTTTTCCTTATTAACACATTAAACAGTAGTAGAGCTAATTACTGTAGGCATTTGTAAGTAGTGAAGTGAATGAAATAAATCTCATAATATCAGTAACAAGGGTAATATGATGACTTGTGAATATCTGTCTTCTTTTGGTGACAGAGTCACAGCTACTGCTATTTTCCTGTGGCTTATTACCTACATTCAGAATTGAAAGAAATGCTACATTTCAGTTTGAGATGTAATACTTTTCTCAAGTAAATTCACAAACCATAGTTTAAGAAGCTCTGGTGTAGTAGAAAGAGGAAGGACTTGGGAGTTACAATACCCAACTCTGGTAATTTCATGTTATATGACCTTTAGAAAATTTTAAAATATGACTTTAAAATTATGAAGTTACAGAATTGCAGATAATTACATGTAAATATTAAAGATACTATATGTCATGAGTATATAGCAATAAGTCAATACATGGTATATTTCATTTTTTCACATAAACACATTATAGCAGAGCATTTGTAAAACAAAGATAAACATTCCACCATACTTTAGAAGAAACCCATAATTAATTTTGCTTTCTCTTCTTCCAACCTTTCCCCCCCCTAAGTTTAATTGATTTATTACATTGTTGAAATTAGTGTGTAAAATATTTGGTATCATATATTGTTTTACTTAATGATAATATGATAAAGTTTTTTGAGCTTTTCACAATAATTTCTAAAATACAAAGCAATTTATAAACTGTATCAGTAATGTATGAAAGTGGCATTTTAATTGTACATAGTGTGTTATCATATTAAAATGAAAATGAAAGAAACCAAGATGGCAGCATAGGTAAATACCTAAACTGCTGCCTCACACAACAATTTCAAAACTACAAGTAAAAGACAAAACATCTACCACCAAACCACAGGAAATCTGGCTGAGTGGAAGTTCTACAACTATAATAAAAGAGAAAAGAGCATTGAGACATGCACAAGCACTGAAAAGCTGAGGTATCAGACTGGTGATGGGTGACTGGGTGCACTGCTTTTTTCAAGTGGAAGGGAGACCAGCTCCCAATTACACTGAACTCCAGTTTATGGGGAGACACTGGGGACTCAAAATCCTACAGGGAGAACCTGGAGTGTCTGCCATTGGGTCAGAAAGTAAGGACAACTTTCTTGCAATGGTGTGCCAGCAATCATTTTACTGTTTACTGTGCTGGGGTGTGGGAAGTGGGAACATGGAAACTCAGAAATGCAGAGACGGTGGACTGGCATCAATCACTGTTTGCCATGCCCTAGCCTAGTGACACCCTGAGACCCTGACCCCCACAATCTATAAACCCACCCAAGCTCCACCTAGCAGCTTTTGCATATAAATGGCCTACACCAAGAGTGACCGCCTCAGGTAACTGGGAGGCCAACCCTCGGGGACATATAGGACACCTAGCACACAAAGTTACCCTACCAACTCAGGGAAGCAGTGAAAATGCGGTGACAAAGAAACAGATCACAAATGAAAAAAATGGAGGAAAACAAACAACTGGATATAGAGTTCAAAACCACGGTTATAAGGTTTTGCAAGAATTTCCTAGAAAAGGCTGATAAATTTAGCCAGACCCTCAAGGATATGAAAAAGGACCAACTAGAATTTAAACATACACTGACTGAAGTTAAAAAAAAATATTATACAGAAACCCAACAGCACACTAGAGGAACATAAGACTCAAGTCAAAGAATTGAAATACAAAGAAGCAAAAAAAAAAAAAAAAAAAAAAAAAAAGTCAACTGGAAAAAAGAAAGGAAAAAAGAATCCAAAAAGTTGAAGATAGTGTAAGAAGTCTCTGGGACAACTTCAAGCATACCAATATCAGAATTATGGGGGTGGCAGAAGAAGAGAGAGAGCAAGATACTGAAAACCTATTTGAAGAAATAATGACCAAAAACTTCCCCCACCTGGTGAAAGAAATAGACTTACAAGTCCAGGAAGCACAGAGAACCCTAAACAAAAGAAAACGAAAGAGGACCACACCAAGACAAATCATAATTAAAATGGCAAAAGCAAAAGACAAAGAGATAATATTAAAAGCAGAAAGAGAAAAACATTTAATTACCTACAAGGGAGCACCCATACGATTGTTAGCTGATTTCTCAACAGATACTATGCAGGCCAGACAGGAGTGGCAAGAAATATTCAAATTGATGAATAGCAAGAACCTACAACCAAGATTATTCTACCCAGCAAAGTTATCAATTAGAATTGAAGGTCAGATAAAGAGCTTCACAGATAAGAAAAAGCTAACGGAGTTCATCACCACCAAACCAGTTTATGTGAAATGCTGAAAGGTATTCTTTAAGAAGAGGAAGAAGAATAAAAATGTAAAGATAATAATTATGAACAACAAATACATGTCTATTAACAAGTGAATCTAAAAATCAAGTGAATTAAAAATATGAGGTATAGAATAAACTGGTGGATATAATAGAATCAGGGACATAGAAAGGGAGTGGACTGACAATTCTCAGGGGGTAAGGGGTTTGGGGATGTGGGAAGAGACTGGACAATAATAGTACACCTATGAATGAGGACAGTGAGGTAGAGTTAAGGACAGAGGGTGTTTGTGAGAACTGGGTGGAAGGGAGCTATGGGGTCGGGGGCAAAGGAGAAACAATTGTAATAATCTGAACAATAAAGATTTATTAAATTAAAAAAAATGAAAATGATTGTTTTCACACAATCTACAGAATAGTGCAGAATTCTAACTAGCAAATTCCTTTTACTAAAAATTTTGTCAAAACAAAAGTCAGAATGATAATATTGAGCTAAAAAATGTAGATACTGAGGTCATGACCTATCACAACCTGATGACTATGACCAAAACGAAATCGAGAGGAAAATTCATTGATCTGAGTTTTTAATTGGAAAGATGGAATTATTCTTGTTAAGATTTTTTAAAACTCTTGAAAACAACAAATTAAAGGAAAAGAACACTAGAAATTCAAAGCATAGGTAGAAAATAATGAATTGGAAAGCAAAAGAGAAAAACAAAAATAATTAATAAACAAAACCAAAATCCAGTTTTTTTAATGCATGAACAACATAGACAAAATGCTGGTGTGTATGACCAAAATGGAAAAGAATTAGGAATTTAAAGGGGCATATAAACAATTATATGGAAATTTTAAAATATCATAGAACTATATTGTTAGAGATTTACCTCAAACATTTGAAAAATCTATATAAACTAAATGTTTCTGGGGGCATATATTTACCTCCAAAAATTAATTC